TAGACATAAAATTTTTTAAATTTTTTAGTTTGAAATTGCAACCTAACCCCCGGGGTAATCCGCTTATAGTTGAAACCACATAAGAAAAATACATGCAAGTTGCGAGTCTACTGTATGTAATTACATTCCTAGCACTACTATAAAAAAAAGTAAAAACTGCAAATATCTGTAGTGATATTCATTAATGAAAACAGTAGCGAATCTATGAGGAATGTGATTGGGTCTTGGGAAAAAAAATTTAGTTGGGGGTCCCGGGGAAACACCTACTGGGAGGTTTTTACCACCTTTAACTTAATTCTCACATCGTTACTCATTTCGTGCGCACCTAATAATTAAAATGCACAGCACCCCAAATCAAACATAAATGTTCATTGTAACAATATTTTTCATGCAAATAGTCTTAATAATTCCTTTACAAATTTAAGTTGTTACAAAACTTGAGCTTGTTTAATATTTTTAAATGTGCACCATTACTGAGAGAAGATAAAACAAAAAGGTAAGCTTTCTTAGCACTGAATTGTGCGAGAATTCAAAATTTAACACTTATGCAACTGGGGTTTCAATAGCATATGACTGAAGTACTAAATTAGGAAAAATAAGCATGTTCCATGATATATACAAACAAAATATTTAGTTTTCTTTCCCATGTAATATTCAGTCATTTGATTTTGTTTTATTCCTAGTTTTAATTGCATCAGCTAGTTTTTTCAGGGAGAGTAAAAGCTTCTGTTTTTGTTGCTGGAAGGCCTCTCTGCTTTTCCTTGATTTTTTAGCACTTTCCTCACACTTTGTTTTCTTTGATTCTAACAGTTTCTTTAACAAAAAAATTATCTTATTTTCTTCCTGCTGCAACCTCTTCTGCTTTAACAAGCTTCAATATCTACTGCTGGAGAGTTTTATGTTCCTACACATCATAGGGTTCCCCTCCTGGAGGACACACACATGCTCTCACCCCCTGGGGGACACACACACATGCTCTCACCCCCTGGGGGACACACACATGCTCTACCCCCTGGGGGACACACACATGCCCTACAGCCCTGACCCCCTGGGAGACACACTCACACACATGCCCTACAGCCCTGACCTCCTGGGGGACACACACACAAGCCCTACATCCCTGACCCCCTGGAGGACACACACACAAGCCCTCCCTGACCCTGGGGCACACACATGCCCTACAACCCTGACCCTGAGCACACACACACATGCCCTACAGCCCTGACTCCCTAGGGGACATGCACACAAGCCCTACAACCCTGACCCCTACAACCAGAACCTCCTGGAGGACACACACACATGCCCGGCAGCCCTGAGGACACACACACATGCCCCATAGCCCTGGAGGACACAAACATGCCCTACAGCGCCATGACTTGCTGGGGAACACAAACATGCCCTAGAGCCCTGGACTCTGGGGCCACACACACATGCCCCTACATACCTGGACCTGCTGGGAACACACACATGCCCCAGCCCTGACCTCTTGGGGGACACACACACACATGCCCTACAGCCCTGACCCCCTGGGGGACACATACACACATGTCCTACAGCCCTGACATCCTGGGGGACACAAACATGCCCTACAGCCCTGACCTCCTGGGGACACAAACATGCCCTACAGCCCTGACCCCCTGGGGGAGCACGCATGCTCTACAGCCAGACCTTCTGGACAACATAACATGCCCTACAGCCCTGACCTTCTGGCAGACACACACATGCCCTATAGCCCTGACCCCTGGGGAGACAGACATATGCCTACAGCCCCTGACCTCCTGGGGACACACACACAGCCCTACAGCCCTGACCTCCTGGGGACACCACGCCAAGCCCTACAGGCCTGACCTCCTGGGGACACCACGCGCCCCAGAGCCTGACCTTCTGGGGGGACACAAGCATGCTCTACAGCCATGACCTTCTGGACAACATAAACATGCCCTACAGCCCTGACCTTCGGCAGAACACACACATATGCCCTATAGCCCTGACCCCTGGGAACAGACATATGCCCTACAGCCCTGACCTCCTGGGGACACACACACAAGCCCTACAGACCTGACCTTCTGGGACACACACACATCCCAACCCACAACAACAGCCCACAGCCTACCTTCTGCAGACACACAATGCCCTGCCGACCCTGGGACACACCTGACCTCCTGGGGACACACACAAGCCCTACAGCCCTGACCTCCTGAGACACACGCATAAGCCCTACAGACCTGACCTTCTGGGGACACACACACATGCTCTACAGCCATGACCTTCTGGACAACATAAACATGCCCTACAGCCCTGACCTTCTGGCAGACACACACATATGCCCTAGCCCTGACCCCCTGGGGACAGACATATGCCCTACAGCCCTGACCTCCTGGGGACACACCCCAGACCCTACAGCCCTGACCTCCTGGGGAGACACCGCCAAGCCCTACAGGCCTGACTCCTGGGGACACACACGCATGCCCTACAGACCTGACCTTCGGGGACACACACACATGCCCTACAGCCATGACCTTCTGGACAACATAAACCCCTACAGCCCTGACCTTCTGGCAGACACACACTATGCCCTATAGCCCTGACCCCCTGGGAGGACACATATGCCCTACAGCCTGACCTCCTGGGACACACACAAGCCCTACAGCCCTGACCTCCTGGGACACACCAGCCCTACAGGCCTGACCTCCTGGGGACACCCCGCCCTACAGACCTGACCTCTGGGGGACACACGCATGCTCTACAACCTTGACCTGGACAACATAAACATGCCCTACAGCCCTGACCTTCTGGCAGACACACACATATGCCCTGCTGACCCCTGAGACAGACATATGCCCTACAGCCCTGACCTCCTGGGGAACACACACAAGCCCTACAGCCCTGACCTCCTGGGGAGACACCAAAGCCTACAGGCCTGACCTCCTGGGGGACACACACGCATGCCCTACAGACCTGACCTTCTGGGGGACACACACACATGCCCTACAGCCATGACCTTCTGGACAACATAAACATGCCCTACAGCCCTGACCTTCTGGCAGACACACACATATGCCCTATAGCCCTGACCCCCTGGGAGAGACACATATGCCCTACAGCCCTGACCTCCTGGGGGACACACACGCAAGCCCTACAGCCCTGACCTCCTAGGGGGTGGACACAATCACGCCCTACTGAGTTGCTTAAACAACTATGAAATATGGCATGGGTTATAGAATAAATTGTTTTGATCAGAAAGTGTAAAATGTTGTAGAAACTCAGTTATATTGAAAAATGCTTAGCCCCTCCCCGGCCAGTGGCAGGCATATTATAATTGGTTCCAATAATGGTGTTGTATGATGTCATTCATCTTTGGTCAATGAAATACGAAAGAATCAAAGAATGGAATGAAAAACAAGTCAATGAAGTACAATAAGTCCTCGTTTCACGTCGTGGTTACGTTCTTGCAAAACACAACATTAAAGGAATCAATTTTCCCCATAAGAAATAGATAAAAGATGCTAGTTATGTTTCCCAGCCTTCCTTTGCCCCATAAAATACATTACATATACATAAATTCAATGGAATTTTTATAGAAAATATATAATATACATACAAAAAATAAATAAACTAATCATTTTGCATTGTACTCATTGAGGGCAGAGGTGCAGCGAGTGCGTGGTGGGTAATGGAGAGGAGGAGGGTGGTGAGTCGCTGAGACCAGGAGGTTCAAAACCTCCATTTTCGTAGCAAGGCTATGGTCTTGCGTTGCTTCTTCAAAACACTAGCATCATTAGCACTTGATGGCCACTTGGAAGCCATTTTGAATTGTTACAGTACAGTATTAAGAGCAAAAACACTTAAGCACGCACTTCGCTGTGGAAGCCTAACAAAGACTAGGGATGCTGTGACGCTCCGCGAGAGAGCATACCAAGCCAAGATGAGAGAGAGTGATGCGCCTTACAAAGTAGTCCGTGACGACGTTGTAACGAATCGGTCGGGATGTTGTTGGAATCATGGGTATCTAAAGAGAAGTGATGTTATAACAAAGCAACGTTAATCAAACACTTACTGTATATGATGTAATGCATAAACATGTAGAGTGCAGCCACTATACTGAGTATGCTGGTTCATCGTCCTCACACAGCAGACCCATCAACCGTAGAAGGTCATTTATTGTCACACATTTCTCTTGTCATGGTCACCCCCCACCCCAAAAAAAATAAAAAATAAAAATAAATAAAAAAATAAATAAATAAAATTCTCAACGGATCTATACAATTCACAAGGGTTGCCTAAAACAATGGGAAAAAACGGAAAACCAGAAATAACGGAAAAATCACATCTCTCTATGAGTACTGTATATATATATCTATACCTTGTATTCTGTAGCCTAAATCTTAAAAAGTTTCATCAGTGTTGATAATTTTCCTACTCACTTCTTAACAATCATTCTAAGAATGAACTTTTTCTAGGCACACAACCAAATCCCAGGTATTTTTCATGTCTTCCTAGCTGCTATCCTCTCTCACTGTGCACCACAGTCAAATGATGAACTAATACAGCTGGACGAACACTGTGTCTAAAGCACAGAAGCTCATTGGGAGTAGCCTCAACATGTATGACTGGCCACAATCAGGATTTGCTCACAAGTTGGTCCATCACAAGTGCCACCTTCTTTAAATGAGTAGTTAGTACTATACATATGTGGATTGTTGAGGTTTACTGTAATACCCCCTTATGACACACACACACACACACACACACACACACACACGCACGCACGCGACGCACGCACGCACGCACGCACGCACGCGACGCACGCACGCACGCACGCACGCACGCACGCACACACACACACACACACACACACACACACACACACACACACACACACACACACACACACACACACACACACACACACACACACACACACACACACACACACACACACACACACACACACACACACACACACACACACACAGAGGAACACTGCCATGGATTCACACCTTTGTTGGGAACTGTGGGAAAGCCTGCAAGAGATGTGTCCAGACCCAATGCACTCGCAGGCTCAAACTGACTGGAAATGACATTGCTAAGGTGAAGCATTCAGCATCATGTCCAGCTTGTAACATTGAATCACTCATCTGAAATAACAGAGAAATCTGGATAATTTTAAGTCTTAAAAGCTATATAGGGTATTAGTAAAATATTTTTGAGATGGTAACAACATTTTTGGAATATGGGTAAAAATTAATAAAACAGAAGATAATAATAATACATTCCTCGAAAGTCCAACACACTGGTGTGTATACAGGGGGTCCCCGGGTTACGAATGGGTTCCGTTCCTGAGGACTTTCTTAAGTCAGAGTTGTAAGTAAGTCAGAACACATGCCATGTGTATACCGTACTTACAGAACAATGTTTAAAATCCCACTACAGGTATATAATAGCCTAAGTAATTATATACATCTAAAATCACTTAATTTAAGGCCAAAGAAGAAATAGAATGACCAAATACAGTAAATAAAAGTAAAAAATAAGTCATCAGGTAAATAAAATATTGTAAATTTGAAATTTAACCCCGTTCGTATCAGCAGGTATTCGTAAGCTGGGGACCCCCTGTACAAGGAGTTAGTGGTGCCATGAGAGGCCTGGTAAGTCAGTGGCATGCTAGTAGTTTTTCTACTCAAGAAACTCAACAGAAAACCCAATGTAATAGACCTCTCAGAAGACACCTAGTACAGTACAGTACATTAGTGCAATAAAATAATCTTATGGCAAGTACTATGGGTGTAAATTCTGGCAAAAAATAACTATGCCTCAAAATAAAATTAGATCTCTGTAATAACACTGTGTGTTGGCTTACAAGTCAAGTTTCGAAGCTTAAAAAACTTCCCCCAAAACAAGGGGTCAACTATTGTCCCCAATACAATATTTAATCCTTTAATTTCAGCTGAAATTTCTGGTGAATAACATCCAGTTAGTGAACAGAAATGATGCCATTGAAGGTGGCCATCGTATTTAACCCTCTGATACTTCTGGCCATGGTTGGAAATCTCACCCCCTCTGCTAACCCACGAGGTTAGTGGCAGGGACATAAGTGGTTGATAGGGCTGGTTCACTGTTCCTGCATTTCTGTTTATGGGAGGCGTGCTCTTAGTGTAAGATACGATTGAGAGGGAGGGGTCACACCAGCGCAGGAGCGCTTAGCGAAGCAATTTGCATCGAAGACCATGAGATTGATTGATAAAGTTGTGGTAATTACATCCCCGATGACAAAAGAACTTAAGTCATATGCCACCGAATTAAGCTTAGAAGGCGAAAATCATATAATGCAGGGGGTAGGTAGTAGGCAGCTACCAAACAGGGAGGTACTATTGCCTGGGAAGATATTGGAAGCATAATGTATGCTGCATCACAAAAATTGTGACCAAGTCCCAGGTTGCTCATCTGACATTCTGCCTCATTTACACACAATTGCAGGTCTCAATTGTTTCTCTTACCATTGGCAACACAACGTACATATATTGTTTCTCACTCTTGATCTTTTTCATTTAGTATTTCTTTATTATTATTATTATTATTATTATTATTATTATTATTATTATTATTATTATTATTATTATTACATTTTCGGCCCCCAGGCCCCAATGTGGGTCGGTGACTTGTGCCCGGGTGGGCTAATCCCCGTAAAAAATAAAAAAGATGAAAAATAATAATAATACAGTAGTACCCCGAATATTTACGGAATATTTACGCGATCAATTGAACCTACAGGGTACCGAGGAAAGTGAAAACCGCGTAAAGTGAACAACAGAACATATGGGATTAATTCCAATACAGACTGGCCTGACCCCCAAACTCCATTTTTCCGACACAATACCTATGTTTTTAGTAAAAATAACATCTTAATTTTATGATGGTATGCACACACAATTAATATTTAAGAGAAATACAGTCGCCATGTTAATGTCCATTCAAATAATGGACTCAATGAATGAAATAAGGACGTAAATTGAATTGGGTCCTAAATTAACTCGGGTTTTAAATATGAATAGTTGTTGGTCGAACTGTTGCTATAGGAGGCTTTACTGCAATAATAA